GAAGCTTGGAAACAAGAGCCCAGAGTMAATGGGAAAGCTGATTCCCACTGACAACTGTTCTTGCTACTAAAAGTCTCTCCAAGGACTCGATCTTAACCCAAAGCTCTCAGCCTGTAGGTCTGCCCTGCTGGAACCCCTGACAGCACCAATCTTTGGCCACTGTTACAATCCCAGACACTGCGTTTCTGATAAGAAAGCAAGCAAGCAGCCAGGAGGAATTTGGATATAGCAAGAAGCTACTGCAAGGTCTCATGTACTTCTTACATCTAATTTTGCCCTCCCAGCTAGGAATAACATTTTTCTTGAGTCTCTGAAGGGGACGGCTGATTGAAATGTCAAGAGAACCTCAAAAGAAAAAACATCTCTCATTATTCACATGTTGTTTTCTGAGCCAAGTCAGGGGCATCTGTATTGTGCTTGTCCAGGTAGGTTTTTTTCCGTACTGAGAGTTCTGTACTTGGAAATTACCATGTCATGCACTTTCCTCACATCCAGCAAGGTTATACCGATCCTGCTTGGAGAAGGAGAAGAATTTCTTCACAGAAAAGGTTGTAAAAATTGGAATGGACTGCCCAGGGAGGTGATGGAGTCACGATCCCTGGAGGTGTTGAGGAAGGTTCCACATCCTGGAACTCAGTGCCAGGTCTGGTTGACAAGGTGGTGTTCAGTCATAGGTTGGATGCAAAGATCACAGAAGTCTTTTCCAACCTAAATGGTTCTGTGATTCTGTTCTCACAGCTTAAAATTTTGAATATAAACCTTGTGAGTAATTTTTCTTYCCCCCTCTGTTCATCTTTGCCTTTACCATTTTTATTTGAAAACTAAATTGTTGTCGTCAATGGAGATACTCATTCTAGAATTTCTACAAATTTTCTAAGGAGGTCACTTTTCTAAGTGAGTACCCTAAAACATAAACTGAAACACATTGGAGGAACAATCCCATATGACAATTTCCATTTCTAGATACATCAGTAATTATTGCATAATGCTAAATAAATTCTAGATACCTAATGACATGCTATTTCCTGTAGTACCACAAAGTTGCCTGAAGTAAAGATAATCTTTCTTTACCACCAGTAGCATAGCAAGTGTCAGTCATAAGTATTATATTGCTGGTTATTTACTAAATATTCTGGAAGACTGAAGGTACTGTGTCTTTCTCATGGCTGTTTTTTAAAGAAAAATAGGGCTGTTTCTGGAAAAAAAAAAACCTTTTTAGAAAGTGTAAATTTTTTTTTCATTTATCACTTTTGATAGAAAACCTTGTTGAAGGGTTTGGATGATAATAATGCTGTCACTAATCTTTGATTCCCTTGCAGAGCACTGTAAATCCAGCTTCTTAATACATTGTAAAATGTGCATTTTTTCTTCCTATGAGACTCTTGGCAGACTTTACGGTTAGTACAAAGACATTCAGCAAATTAGATGCTTTTTAAAAACAGCTGAGAAACATCTTTTAAAAAAGAGGAAAAAGGAATACYTTACTTTAGAGGAAAATTTTATACCTTGTTAGTTTCAAAATAACATATTGTTGTCAAAGCACCATTAGTATTTGGTGGCCAGCTACCATATATTTACAAGCATTTCTTTTATCCYTGTTTGGATTGCAAACCAAGGATGCAGAAGACATCTTGCTTATTTGAATTAAATTGTATTGCCATACCTTATATAATTTCTACTGATTTTTTGACTCTGTGGTGTATGGCGAAATGTAAATCAGCAATCTTCTCAGTACATTCAATTAATATTTCTCATAACAGGATTGTGTGTCATAGCATTTGGCAGTGCTTAGTTTAGCTAATGTCCAGATAATATGCTCTGAATGGATTGTATTCTGGATAAATAAGTTAGGCATTTAAGTAGAAACCAGTGTGACTAATGTGCAATATCAAATTCTCTAGGACTTGCAGTTCTATATATGCTTGAAGAATGCATGCATAAAGCAAAAGGCATTTCGTAACCTTGACCTTGGTTGCATCACATCCTTTTGTGCTGGTGTTTGCATTGGAGCCAGTGTGGGTGACCTCAGCACCRATGGGTGACTGATGTTCTCTTCCAGAGGGTCCAGTTCTTTGCCACATTACCTGGAAAACTGCTGGGGAGGTTGGCTTCAGCAAGGCCTTTTCACTCATGGGGGCTCTCCAGCATATGAGTGAAGTACATCTTAGCATTTAAAGAATAACTTCATGGTTTGGAAGCACAATAACATGTCCAGTTTGATAGGGTCTTGCACAGGAGGCCAACATCTAAATACCACAGCAGGAATGCTCAGAAACAGCCCTGCATGGCAAAGGCATTGTTGGCATTGACTGCCTGTGATCGCTGCACTTGGAGAATGGAAAAATTATTTCTTGTTACCCAAATTCTTCAGGACAGGAACATTTTTCTTTGTATAGAGAAGTAATATAARATGTGACCTGTTATAAATGAAAAAGTGAATGCACACTCTTTAAGATATTCAAAAATAACAGTTTTCGTAGGAGAGACAGCAGAGAATTATATGTGAAACTGAAACAGGAAATCTAGACACCTTTTCCATTTATGCTGTAAACTGATCTTGTCATATTGGGCCCAAAATCTTCTCAAATGCTTTTTTAGCATTTATTATAGTGACCAGATACTTTTCTTTGTTCCTGACTTACCTGTACTGTGTTTATCTCAACCATTTCAGACTTTCTTTAAGGTGCTCTTTTGACTTTTCAAATAGTGTCATAACCTATTAAGACCATTAAGCACCTGACTCAATGCAGATATTGAGTTTGGTAAAATGATGCTTTCGAAGTAAAATAATTCTAATGTAATTCATCCTTTCTTACTGCAGTCTTGCTTTCAAACATGGAGTGGGACTTGGGAGAAGGCAAAGCTGGTCCTTGCTCTATCACTGTCAGTATGTGATATCTGCTGTGTACAGAAGGGGTTTTAATTTCTGGKTCTGCCCATTTAGCACCATTCTAACAAACGTAAGGTTTCTGGAGGAAAAAAGATGCTTTRTTCTCACTCTAACATTTTTCCCTCTTTGAAGTTAGTTTTGGCTCGCGATGGTCTAATTTGCATTATAAATTGTGTTCACCCAGTTTGTGGGACAATTAAGGTATAAACAGGTGTTCATAAAAGTATGTTTTGCCAATCAAAATAAACATTAGATTCTAGAGATTTCTGATTATCATCTGAATCATGGGAATAGGACAGGGAGTGAGTGATCATTTTTCCCTGAAATGTGGGAGGGGAGGGAGGCAGAAGAGTCTTTGAAAATCTAGTTTAATTGATTACTAAATGTAGCCCTGTTTTTCATCTGGGGCTTTGTGGCTCCCCTTCAGAATATGGGAATGGTGTAATACAAGCAAATACCAGCACCTCAATAAATGATCCACAGGTTACTTCTTTCAAGAGGGAATCTAATAAATTTGTGCAGAGTAGAAATTAAAAGAAGTTTTTAAGTTTACAGCAGCAACAAATTTAAGGACTCATCTGAAGAGTTGTGGGGCATTTTTTCAGATAAATATTAATGTAAATAAATGTTCTGTGTGTTTGGCAGTGTTCTTAGCAAGAGAATATGTCTATACCAGAAGATGTTTATGACTTGTTCTGATGCATACCTTGGGCCCTGTCAAAAAAGAAGGCTTAGCAGTCATAGAAGTGAATTCCTATTAGAGTGAGAGCTGATGATCTTTGTCTTGGAGATAACTGTGTTGATTAGAAAAGTACAAGAGGTTTTAGTGTTTGTTCTGAACTTACAATACCATGATTTTGCCCATGGTTTTTTTGCTCACAGCTTGGAAAGCTGGAGTAACATAACTATGCTGGCTATCTTCCTCACTTCTCTGCTGGCTTTCCTATTTTCCCTGTCCTCTAGAGATACTAGAATGAGCAAGGAAATCCAAAAGAAATCTCCTCTATCGGCTCATGCTTCTGCTGTTGCATGTAGCTTTCTGAAGAGCTGTTAACTACATCTTAAAATGGAGAACTGAGAAAAGGAAAGCCAGAGAAAATAAAGAAATGTCTGTAAAAGGTAGCTGTAGGAATTATGTAATAATTTACATCCCAGTATTACAGTAGCATGGGGAATATTGCTCCCCTTTTGTATTGGTTCATAACCAGTAAGGTTAGTAGCTGTATGTAGCAGTCATTCCTTTTAATAAATCTCTTAATCTTCAGAAATTTTACATTATTATCTTGTGATACGATAATAAAGGATCTTGGGAAGTTTATCTTAAGCCTTAGGTTTCAAATCATTGTGAGGATGAACACAAGGTTCCAAGTAAGGGTCCATTCCATTTCAGAGCATGCAGCACCACTCTAACCCTCAGGTGATAACACCTTGGGTGTCCCAGCAGCTGTGGAGGAGCACATGTCCTCTGTCACCCAAGACAAATGCTGGCTGTGACACARCTTGGTGAGATTATTTGTGTCATGGTTGGCAGGTTGATAGAAGGTTTAGCATTGGTTTTTCTGTCCTACCAGTTGAAATGCTGGCCTGTGTGAGGAATGACTAGTACTGAAGTTGTGTTGAAGTCAAAGCCAGTGCTTTCTTTGGGAAGAAGATAGAGTGTCTTGTCTCTAGTTAAATACTCCAGGCCAGAAAACAAAATCCTTATGGTTTTCATAAATACAGAGTAACATTGAGTAGCCTGTCTAAGTTCAAGAAGCATTTGGACAATGCTCTCAGGCACATGATGTGACTCTTGAAACTGTGCAGGACCAGGAGTTGGACTTGTTGATCCTGATGTGCCCCTTCCAACTCAGCTTGTTCTGGGATTCTGTGATCTTGCTAATCATTACAAAAAATCTTATTTTTGGTTTTGCCTTAATTCTGGTCAGCCTAAGCTATAGAATTATATCAACATGTATTAAGAACAGCTGAACTGAWCTGAACTCTGAAAYKGCTTTTATTTATTTATTTGTTTTATTTCCCTTTATTAGTCTGTCCTTGTGGTTCTAAGTACAAAGCCATAGCTGCCTGATTTGTAGTGTGTAAATTTCTGTTCTTCTGTTCTCTTTAGATAAATACAGGGCACCAGTCGCAGTTGAGTGTATCAAGCACAGAGGTGGGAAATCAAAGGGGTCAGACTTTGGAAAGCAGCCCTTTCATGTCAGACCTCCTGAGCGACGTCCCCTTTGCCCTCGCACCACATGTGTTAGCGGTGCAGGGCACCCACACTGACGTTCCTGACCGACTGCTCACCTACGACATCAATGATAATTTATCAAGATTTTGGTATGACTTTACACTTGAAAATTCAGTGCTTTGTGATCCGTAGTGTTTTCTTTACTTTTTTCTGCCTCTGTCAAGGAACAAGTCTTAAAGTGAAGATACAGACTTACTTTAATCGACTTAATATTTTGGGGGCCTGCCACTGATCTATCAAATGGTTTATTCACAACTGTGATATATTTCTTAGCTTTAAGTGAACTATAACTTACTATGTTAAATACTCCATTTATTTCCAAAGAAATCAAGCAAAAGCGTTTCAGGCTCAGTCAGAGACTGKCTGTTGGTATCTACTTCCAGGAGGTAGGCTGCAGACACACATTTCATGACTTTAAGAGGAAGTCTATGTGTCAACTGTTTTGTTATTTCAATTAGTTACAAAACACATAGATCCTGTTGCATATGTTAAGATCACCTCTGATTTTGTACAGACAGAAACCAATATTAACATTAAAGCAATCTGCTCTGCCCTACTGGACAAACAGCTTTTCCGTAAAACCAGGTTTTAAAACTCAGATTAATTACAAGCCCTTAAGTAATCATGAAGACTTAATAGAATTGGTTAAACTTACCAATTTCAAAGTGAAAATAAGTTGGTTCCTTCCCTTTTCCAGTAGATGGTATTTTGTCCGTCTCATTTTGTGCCTGCCTGGAGAAGTTGTCCCCGCCTGCCTGTTGGCTGCTGTTTGTTCTCATTACCACATGTGTTCCTGATTTATATACAGATCAGCTTTTCCATTTTAACCTCTTTGCCCCCTGAAGAAGGAAATCTCAGGACATGTACTTTTAATGGTCACACCCTTCTTTTTTTAATTTGTGTGCCAGAGTTACAGATGGCAATGTTTAACAACAGGAAAACATTACATTGTTTCTTATCCAACTAAATTAAACTACTAAATACCTAAACATGCGTTCTCACAGACCTCTGTGTCTCCACTCACAAGCTTTGAGCGTGTTTTTCTTGACTAAGACCAGAGTTGCTGTTCCACCAGCAACTGCTCTCTGATGTCACATCACAATTTGTGRTGAATAATGATCTGTGGCACTCACTTGTTTTCTCTCTTGGGGTACAATATATATGTTGTGCTAAATGTTAGTCGATATTTTCCTATATTTTTTATGCTCTGTGGTAGCTTAAAGTACATATATTTTCAGRCTTGGATCTTCTTACAGTATTTGAGATAAATACTGTAAATGATGAAGAAATTATATTGTGAATATGTTTTAGGTTGTTAAATATTAATGGTTTAGATTTTTTTTTAATGTGCGTATTTAATATTTTTGACCACTGTGTTCTTAAATGTTTTGAAGTTATTGTTTCAAGGGGAATATCTGTGCTGCACTCCAGTAAAGAGATGCCAAGTAATAATGAGTTATTTTTATATGTGAGAGTTATTGTGTGGTTTCACCTATATTGTTTACTACAGCCCTGACCATTCAGCTTTTATGGGAACTTGAACTTGGAAATTTGGTTTGAAAATCTTTTCCRTGTCATTTGAAAATCGGTGTTCTTCTAATAAAATATATCACACTCTCATCTGATGGTTTCTGTGTGCTGTGTTGGTGACTTGCAGTGGTTGATGTGGCATCCCTGACACTGCCTGGAGAATAGTATGGCCGGGACCTGGGAAGAACTCAGGCCTCCTAGAAGGAAGAATTAATTTTATGAAGTTTAGAACTGTTTTGTTTTCTGAGTTTTTTAGTTAATGCATACCAAAAGCACTAAAATAATTTTAATGGGTTTTTTTATATGTAACAGTTAAGAAATGGATTATTCTACAAATAGCATGTTTACATTCAAGTTGTTCATTTTGAATCTGAAATGTTTCTGCAGCTCAGCTGGTCTAGAAGCAGAGTTGTAAAGCACTGTTGAAGACCAAACAAACTCACAATACAGGTTCTTTCTTTACTAGCTGACTTGGYGTATAATTTTTTGCATTCATTTTTTGCCTAAAGTTAGACAATTTATCTAAAATAATTACATCTTGTCAGATTTGAGCTMCGTTGCACTCACAGGTGTCCTTTCAAAAGGAAAGGAACAGCAGAGGAGAGTAGGGAGGAGGTTGTATTCATCATGATGAGAAATGTGGACAGTAGATTTAAACATTTGGCCTTCATCCTTAATTGTCGTCTGTAAAGGGCAAAATTTAGAGCCAGCAAAGTACCACTAAATGAGCATGGGTACTGSGGACTGTCTCCTCAGTGCCCTCTCTTTTGCAAAAGCTGGGGCTCCAACCTCTCTCTTGTGTGAGATCTTCCCTAAGATYGGATTGATGCCTTATGGCGCGTGTTCAAAGGTAAATCAAACAGCTGCATCCGAAGCAGCCTGACAGAGTGACTGGAGATGGTCCCTACAGACACATCCTTAGTGACAAACTCAGAAATGGAACCAGACAGTGCCCTGTCCAGCAGGTCAGTCAAGGCAGTGGTTACTGATCCAGTTTCTGCTGTTTTCTGTAAAGTATGATCCAAACCCTGATATGACAGTCAGCAAAAACTCGTGTGGTAACAGAGGAGAGGGTTTCACMCTAAAGCACCTAAAGGASAAATGCAAAGAGKGTATTCACCAYGGCAATTACAGTRTGTCAAAATAACACACCATTTATTGCRTTTTTAGCTGGAGAACCTGTTATGTTCACAAAAGCACTAAAGCAGCCTCCTGGGCAAGATGAGCGGGTTGTCCTGAACAATAGCATAAAACTGGAGCTTGAGAAACTGCCCTCCTCCCCACAATCACCCTTTTGTTATGACACGTTCATCTTGCTTTGGTTTTCACTGCTCAGCCTAGTGAGTAAGGAGAGGAACCAGAAGTGCAGCTCCTAGGGGTAACTCCTTCCYTTCCTGAACAACTGGGAATCTTCTACTGATGACAGGGAACTCCAGATTAACCAGACTTTTTTTTGAAGTCTGAGACAGTATACAACAAAGAGACAGAATATCCTCCTTAAATTCCAAAGGTAGACTACTGTTTGGTGCTGTAGGAACACAAAGGTTTAGTAAGCCAAGCTGAGTTCATTCAGCCTACCCTGCTGTGCTGCAGCTTTTCCTCAACATTAAGCTTGGCTTTCTGTAACKAGCTCACAAAGTAGAAAGCGTGTGTGTTAGGCCTGACTTCTTCCCATCAATATGTCAAATTCCTTAAACTAAGAAAAATTATTTAACTCCTTGTATCCTCCACTGTATTTTTTCTTTACCAGTAGATGTTTATGTTCTTTGAGTCTCCTAGAGAACTATTACCTCTTTCTTTTTGATGTCCTTTTGAGAGATGAGTTCCCACTGACACTTTCTTAGCTGTCCTGCCTGAATCAGAGCCATGGAAACGGAATGAAGTGCAGATGGGAAGACTATGGTGGCTCTGTCATACTGGTGATCTGACTCAGCACATAAATCAGTACCATGTCCCATAGTCTTTTTTTCTGTACATGTAGGAGACAGCACAGTGGTCCCTAATGACTCTGTACATTAACATGAGCAAGGGGAGAGTTACAGTGTATCACCTCCTCCTTTGAACATTTTGGAACATACTTCTTTTTCATCTGCAGCCTTCCATGCAGTATTCTTTCTAAATTGTGTTTTACTCCAAAAAACAGTCAGTGAATATTCAATTGAAGTTTACTTTCTGATGCAGTATCAGAGTAGCTCAAAGAGCTTTGTTGYATCACAGCTCAGTGTTTTGTCCCTTCTGCAGAAGCAAAAGTCTGGCTGTATGGTTCATAAAATAAACCAGAAGTTGTAAAGCTTTCAGCAAGTTATGATGAGATGTTGGAGAAGCCTTTTTTTAATTCTGTAGCAAAAGAGAGTATCTAGTGATGGAAGTGGAAGTTATGATGACCCCACAAGGATGCAGCAGCTGTGGACCAGAGACAAGAGAGGGCTTAGTTCTGCCAGCCAATTCAATTCACTTTTCCTTGCTGCAAAGATAAAATAAACTCTTGAGATCAAAGATCTAATTTACAGGGCTGTCCTCTCAAGTCAGTTGACACATGTACTTCAATAACAGAACATGAAAGAAACTGCTCATAAGCAAACAAAAAAAAAGATGAGCTTGATTATAAACATCCTTCATCCAACTCTTTGTGGCTATCAGCATTATGGTTAGAGTAGCCTCTCACATCCAAATGTTCATGTAAGTGTTCTGGGAGGTCAGCTGTGGGCATCCATCTAAATCTCACTGGAAAAGAAGCAGATGGGCTCAGAAAACAAAGCCCCAGGTGAAATAACCCATCACAGAGAGAAGGGAATTTCTTATTTAATGCAGCCAATACTAGTAGAACTTTAGTCTGACCACTAAGTCAGCCTTTTTATAAGAGTTCTGCTATTTGTCTGTTTCCCTTAAGAAAGTGAAGCAATGTGTGATGTATTGTGAGCTGTAGTGTAATTTCCTTTTTCAGCTGTTTTTAGAAACTGCTGGTGCATCTGCTTGGCTTATTCTGCTCTTAAACACACTTGGAGATTCCTGCATTTTGTTCCTTTAGATTCCTCTGATTTTGTTTATGGTATGTTTAGATAGGGCTTATGTGAAAGACTTAATATTTATCAATTGATTCAGAGGATCTTTTTGTTATTATTTGACTTTTATGCCTTCTGCAGTTTGGCTGGTTTTCCTTCAGTCATCTCTCAAATAAAAAGACATTTGCACTTCTCCCTCTGCTTGTTAGGGTGCAATAGAACATATGCATTAAATTTATCCCAGAAAGGACTGCCAGCTTTTATTTCAAGTAATATTACAGTACTTGCAGGTWTTACATATTAATCATAGTATACTTATGGTTAAAATTGGACACATGAGATAATTTCTCTATATTTTAATGTAGTTAAATTCATATTGTAATTTAACTTCTGTTTTGGAGGCAAAGTAGGAARGTGTTGTAATGGCAATTCATACTGATTAGTAGGGGGATTTAAAATTACTTCCTTTTTATATGTACTTCCTTTATACCAGATGCAGTTTGTAGTGTATTCATCTGCTCAATGATCAAGATAAAATAACTGCTTCAAAACTAGAAGTTGCCATYAGGTTATTAAATGGCATCAATTAAGAGGTTATTGGTTGAGAAATGGAAATATTGTGTTTTACTTTCTCCTGTATAGTTAGGAAGAATAAAAGTCACCTAGCACACCCTTCTTAAACAGATGAGATAATTCAACTGAAGGATAAAATCTTACTTGGAAATTTGCAGATAGGCTATTCTGTTTTTGGATAAAGTGCAATTAACTGAACAAGGCCTTTCTGGCACCTTCTGCCTCATCTTGCTTCAAAGAGTTATTCTGGCTTGTGCACAAATATTCTGCTCCCCCAAAAAARCTATGAAGATAATGCTAAAAAAGCTCTTCTTTGAAACATCATCCACTTCTGATATATCACTGTAGCCTGGAGATCACTTCTGATAATATCACTGCAGTCTGGAGCTCATGACCCTGTAATCTGTCAGTTTCCAAGGGAAGAGCCCACTCTCTTTTAGGATTTACTCTGAAAGTGGTATCAAAACAGGTAATCTGTGCAAAACAAGCTGGATCGGTATGGGCCTTGCCAGAGCAATACAAGAGGAGAAAAGGCATCCCCACAGTGAGATTTTGTGTAGAGCGCTGGTGACTTTATATATAGCTTTTGATCAGGGAGAAGAAAAAAAAAACAAAACAGAAGCGGTAGCAGTTTGGCTCTCTGCTCTTATATTTAAAAATATTGAGGGTCTACTTTGTAACAGCTGGCAAAAATGTTTTCAAGAACACAGTAACAAAGCAAGGTTTGGCTTGCTCTATTTACCTTTTCCCCGTGGATGTATCTATTGATCTTAAAACTCCTCTGACCTTGAGARAGCCTCTTCCACAGTGTTTATTACATTATTAAGATGATGAAATTTGAGGTAAACAGAGAAGAGGAATGATTCTTATCTGAATATTTCTTCCCTTGAGCCTTTTGTCCCAGATACATCCAACCTGGCCTTACAGGTGCATTTCCTAAGTGCCTGATGGTGTGCTGGCTCAGGCCAGGTCAGAAAGTCTGAGCAGGGAATTTCTCAGACACAAATCTTCTCTCTTCTCTGCTTCCTCCATGCTGAAGTGCTTAATTACAATCCCAGTCATCCTAGTTTCCATCTGCTGGGAGGARGGATGGGAAAGAGGAGCTCTTTGTCCACAATTAAGTTGAGAATAGCCCTCTGGCTTGTCCTCTCTTCCTTTGGCTATGCAGGGAGCCAGCTGCTGCCAGCAACATGCCTGGAACAGGACAAAGTTATCTATCTCAGCTTTTTTGTCCTTTTTCTCTCCCTGTGAATTATTTCTGCAGAGATCAGAGCTGTCACTAGCAGTCTAAGGCTGTATTATAAATGGGAATTAATTTACTTTTAAATAAGTATTTTGATTTGTTCAAAGTGTTTAAGACCTGATGATGTGGTCTGGGGAAGATTCAGTGGGCTGTTTCTTYGCTCCAAATATAATGAAAGAACTGGTCTGTTGCCAGCCATGGAGGAGGGAGGAGGAGGAAATTAGAATATGCAGCATTTGAGGAAAAAGTCAGATAAAAATAAAACTT